TGAATATCTAACCAGAATAATCACTGTGAAAAAAAATCACATCGTGTTGCTGCTGATCTGTTTCAATGTTGCTGCTGATCTGTTTTATGTTGCTGTGTTCATGCGTGCTCATCTGCTCACACAGACTCATGCTCATGTTCGTGCTGCTGTTCAACATAATGTTTTTATGCTATTAGTGCTTAGTGTATATTTAGTTGATGTTTTTCTTAGTTCATATCTTAGATCTTATTACCGTTTTTCTTATACATTTTATTGTTGGATGTAGCTGGGACCGTGTCTACATAATTTGATACATAATTAACATGTACCACTTGTGGTGCGAATGACAATAAAGAATCTTTGACTCTGACTGTTTCTTCAGCTGTTTTGTGCTCCTTTCAGCTTCATTCAGCTAACTTCAAGATTTTTATGCTTCTTCAAACTTTTTTCTACTAATTTCAGCTTTTTATTCTCCTTTCAGCTTGTTTCTGTAGTTTTCAGCTATTTCAGCTAACATTTAGCTGCTTTTATGCTAATTTCATCTTTATCAGTTAAATCCACATTTTTTCTTCCTTCCATTTCGACTTCCTTCTGGTAATTTAAGCTTCTTTCTGCTTGTTTTAGCTACTATTCAGCTGCTTTTGGCAAATTACAGCTTTTCTCAGATAATTTCAACTTTATTGTGCTAATTTCTGCCTTTTTCAGCCTTAATGGGCACAATTAAGCTCCCTCCACTTCTTTTGGGAAATTTAAGCTTCTTTCTAAATTTCTTTAGCTGCTCTTCACATGTTTTATAGAAAACCTAGGATAACTCTGCCATTTTTACAGCTATTTAGATTAAATTTGGCGTATTGTTACAACAATCCCTATAGACTCTGAATGAAAATCAAACATCCAAGATGGTCATCAATACTACATTTGAATGGATTTAACTCTGCCATTTTTACACATAAATAGCTGAAATTTGGTGAGGTTATAGCTGAGAACGTTCCCTATCCCATACTGCATCCAAATCAAAAATCCAAGATGGCCACCTTAGCTATAAAGGAAAAAATACAATAACTCAGGCATTTTTAGAGCTATTCAGCTGAAATTTGGTATAGTGTTCGCTGAGAGCTAACACAAACACACATGTCAGATCAACAGTTTACATTGGCAGCAGCCTGGCAGTCCATTACATTAGGAACAATTGTGCACGTTCTGCTTCCTGGTGATATTTGAAGTTTCTTTCTGCTATTTTAAGCTACTTTGCTACTTTTTTCTTGACATTCGTAAGCAAGAGGCCTTCACACTTGCATTTTCGCAGGAAATGCAAATTCTCTAGTTACATTTGGGATAGTTTATCTCATACCTTTAACGTGTACATAGTACAGTATTTTTTTTTTTACTGTGCTTAAAAGGAATTGCCAATACTACCTGCTGTGTATTAATTTTTGGTCCTCAGTTTTTGTTTCATGGCTCCTGTATTTTTCACGTTTTCTTCTTATTTGCCCTGATCCAGAGGTCAGTGTTATCAGACATAGAGCTCCCTAAAACAATATTTTTTGTCATAGCAAGATTTTTATTGTTAACCCATGTAAAGATAGCCAATAAATATAATATACTTGATATAGCATCTCCGTTGGGATGGCCTTTTAAGCTATAATGTCCTGTGTAGAAACCACAAATATAAAAACATCCACAAAGGAACAGGGAGATAAAGACAGTCATGACTGCTGACACTAATGTAAAGGAATTGTTTTCTACTCAACCACAGCATTGTAGAGTTTAAAATGCAATCATTCTTTCACTTCTATTCCAGTTTTACAATAAATACATGTAAATACATTAATAAATTTAAATATTAAAACAAGTTCTTATGATAATTATGTGGAAGTAAGAATCAGTTCATTAAAACAGATGGAAGGTCTTTTAGCTTCCTTTTTTATTAGGTTAACTAAAGGTAAGTATGATGTCTTTCACATTTCCAGCCAAAAATGTTAGTTAACTTAAACATAAGCAAACAGCCTCTATTAAAGATAAATTACCTGCAGCTGGTTATCAACAGACCAGCTTGTTTGTGACCCCACACACTAATCTGTATCCCTCATAGATGGTTGAAGTCATTACTGAAATGATTTAGATGGAAGTTCATAAATTAGCACACTGTTGATTGATCTTTCCCAGGACACTCCAAACTTTATTCTAGACTGCAGTCTAAGGCCGGTGAGTAAAGTGTTGTGATCTAATATGACAGCTGCTATCATAAAATCAAGTGCAAGTTGGACTAGACTAGTTTGTCACTCTGGTCAGAAATATTCTCTTAATACTTCAAGCATAAAGCCCTGTGAAGACGTTTCAGACAACTCATGTCAGTGTTAAGGATGCACAATATTGGATTTTTGGCTGATAAATGATATTCCGATATGTTAAAACTTATCTGGCCGATAACCGATACGAATACCAAGCTTTTTTTCCCTAGACCTACTTACAGAGACTACATAGCTTTCTCTGCTGTGGGACTAAAATACTACATTATTCTGCATGGTCTTTGTCAGTTTGGCCTGTTACCAAATGCAGATGCTAAAAAGGGGACTGAAAAAGATGTAACACTTCAAAAGTTCAAAAGCTGGCATTTGCTGAAGATGGAATAAAAAAAAAAAATCAACTATTGATTATTGCTAATGTTGAACAATTACATAAGTTATGTTTAACATATGAGTAACTTATCTATAACTTGTCCTTAGCATATACATAACTTATACAAGTCTATGACCTTGTTTTTGTGGCTCTCCTCCATAACTCTGTTCCTTATTCTAAACTTAGACCTAACTTATGCTGCTTACGTCTTTGTGTTTGCCTTTTCTTTCGTACGTTGCCATACGCTGATGATATACGTCACTGTGCGACAGCCTATCAGCATGGTTCAAATTGCTATCCACAATAGCTCTGACTGTTATTATTTTTAATAAGCTACAAAATATCTCAACTATAATTATCGCTCACCATCAAAGGTGGACGGATGATATTTTTTTGCTTGTGGCTGCACATGTGCTCATTTGTCATGTTAGCATGATACCTCTTCTTAATTAAACTCTCAGAAAGTAATCAATGGACAAACATGCACAACTGATTACCTTTGGAGTCAACCAAAGTCAAGATGGCCATTACAGGAATGCTAAACATTTAATGTTACCTGCTTTGACTGAGGTGATTCCACTGGCGGGACTGGGAGAGGAAGTAGGGTAGCAAAATAAAGCAAGCTCTGCATTCAGTTTCTATCCAAACAATTTGGACCAACAAATGTTCCCCGTGGGCGAACATTGGCATTAAGTAGAATCAGGATGCGACTTTCAGTTCCTGATACTGACATTCTGTTTATTCTTGGTAAGTAAAAATAAAATCAAATAAAACCAGAGCAGAAAACCCTTCAGTCACAGAGAAATCTTACTGTCATCCATAGGTTTGCATATCCTTTATGTTCCTGCGTAAACCGGCGCATGCCACATCACGTCTGTTTTCACAGTTTTGATACTTGTTAACGGATTACTGAGGTTGAGATTAAAATGGGACTTATCAGACTTTTATTAAAGCATCATCGTGGGAGCGAGGCGGACTGCTTCCTGCCAACACTGCCTCAGAAAGTGTGTTGGAGCAGAGCGCAACACCTTATCAGTAGGTTTCTTATGTGAAAAGCAGCCATTTGCTAAAGAATGGTGGGAGTCTCAGACATCAAAATTCCAAATTATAAAAGCTCTAACTATAGTCATGTAGTAACTGGGAAATCGTTTTGCCACATTTCTCAAAAATATATTTTTTATCCAGTTGCTTTAAGCCCACAAAGGCAATCAAAAATAAGGATTTGAAGTGTATTTTTACAAATTTTTAAGCTAAATTGCATTTTGGTGTTGTGGAGAATGCACTGAAAGCAACAAATTACCCATAAAATACAAAAATACAGCAAGGAGCATTTAGCAAATTATTAGGTTAATTGACAACAGGTCAGTGAGATAGGACTGGATATAAAAAGAGCATTTTAGGGATGCTGAATCTCTCAGAAGTAAAGATGGGCAGAAATTCACCAGTCTGCAAAAGCTGTGTCTAAAAACAGAACAATTTCAGAATATGTAATGTTCCTAAACAGAAGATTGGGAAAACTTTGAATAACATATTATTTCAAGAGTCTGGAGAAATCTTTGTGCTCAAAGGACAAGGCAAAAAGTCAGTAGTGGATGTGGATGGATGACCACGGCCTGTGACCTTTCGGCCCTCAGACAGCATAAAAACAGGTCTGAATCTGTTATGTGGATCGCTGCATGGGCTCGGGATCCTTTCCAGAAATCATTGACTGGAATTAGTTCACATTGCCATCTACAAATGCTACTTAAAGCTGTATCATGTAAAGAAAAATGTGCCTTTCTGATGGTATGAGGGCTCAGCTTCAGCATGGACATTTCTATTAGATTACTTTCACTCAGAGATGTCTAAATCAACTAAGCATGTTTATCTAGGGAATTACAGGTCATGATATTAAAAAAGGATTTTCCTCATTTTACTTTTCAGACAACAGAAAGACGTTTCTGTTTTGTCTCAGTCCATCACAAACATCAGAGCCTCCAAATTGTGTTCAGGACAGAATTTTAATTTGTACTCGTCAATTCAGTGTTTAAAAGATGTTCAAGTCTTTTTCTGATGCATCACTCAGGGATGGCAAACCTGCTGCAACTTACCCAATCACAACTCATTTTTTCCACTTGCGCATTATGCAACTTTCCCAATCTTTTCATGCCCCCGTTGTAACTTTTTAAAAACATATTATTGACATTAAATTTAAATAGGTCATAGACAGTAGGCACAGAGTTCTGTAAGTTGCATTTATACTAGTTTCACATACATTAAGAGTTTAAAGGATTTGCAAATTATTGCATTTAAGTTTTATTTGCACAACTTTTTTAGAAAAAGTGATATGTACTGTGTGTGTGTATGTGTGTGTGTGGTAAGAAATGAGAGCACTGTGTTCAGGGCAGTAGTTTCCTGCCTACCTGTGCTGAGAAGCAGGAGAACCTTCATTGACAAGAACTCGTCGTACGTTAGCTGCAGTCGAACAAACTCCTGGCTCACTTGCCTCATACCCAGACACAGGTCATACATGGCCGACTGCCTCATGCGGTCTCTGCAGAAAGAAAGAACATAAAATGTACCATTTCTCTTGTATACAAAAACTGTGTTTGGTTTGATTACTGTTACTATTTATCTTAATGTTTTTTTTCTTTCTTTCTTCCTTTAGAAAGTACACCTGGACCTGTCATTCTGTGTTCGTCTGTTTCTCCTTCCTGTCTTCTCAAACCCCAGGTGGTCGAAGCAGATGACCACTTGTCCTGAGCCTGGTTCTGCTGGAGGTTTCTTCCTGTTAAAAGGAATTTTTTCCTTTCCACTGTTGCTTTTGTGCTTGCTCAGGATGGAAGGCTGCGACAAAGTGAAGATTCAACGCAATCTGCTGGCTTCCTTGGATAGATAAATTTTACTAATTGGCTTTTATAATGTATGTGTATGTTTCAGTTCAGTGCCCTGAGACAACTTCTGTTGTGACATGGTGCTATATAAATAAACTGAATTGAATTTAATTGAATTGAGTTCAGTCCAACAAAACTGCATTTCCACAAAGTGCAGCAGAGGATCTTGCTTGTCTGGGCTGAGAGCAGAATACCAAATCCCCCCCAGATTGCAGAGAGCCACATATGGTATCATAGCACAAATGCACCTTATTTCCAAAGCTGCATACATTCTATAAAGGATCTCACCAAGGATCATCCCTGATCACCATATAAATACAAGTAATAAAAGACATTCCAAACTGATTTATGTTTACAGCAACAATCTACTTGTATACAAGTTTATATATACAGGCTTATAAGAGTCCATGTTTTAGCCATAAGGAGCTATATTAACTACTTGCTCTACCCATACTTTCTCACTCTTTTTCAAATGCATTTTTTCAGTAAAAGAAACTTAGTTAAATCACAGAGTTTAAAACATAAACCCTGGTTCTTTAATAATGGTGTGTGGTCAACAAAGTCCATGCTCAATAATCCAGGTATACAATATAACATTTTTCAGTCAGATCATCTGGACAGTTTCTTTTTTTATTTTTGTGCTGAAACATTTCGCCTTCGGTCCAGAAGGCTTCATCACTGTTCCACTTTGGAGTAAGCTGTTGGGGGAAGAATCAGTTTTGTTTTGCGTTTCCTTGACTGATGAAGCCTTCCGGACCGAAGGCGAAACGTTTCAGCACAAAAAAAAAAGAAACTGTCCAGATGACCTCACTGAAAAATGTTGGATTGTATACCTGGATTATTGAGCATGGACTTTGTTGTTTTCAACCAGTTTGACAAGACTGTCAACAAGGAAGTGGGCCGGCAATGGAGGAGGAGGCATACCAAAGAGACCATCTTATCACAAGCAGAACTGGTTTGTTCCATTTTGGCGTAAGCTATTGGGGGAAGAATCAGTTTTGTTGTGTGTTTCCTTGACTGATGAAGCCTTCCGGAACAAAGGCGAAACGTTTGAGTACAAAAAAAAACAAGAAACTGTCCAGATGACCTGACTGAAACATGTTGGAATGGTGTGTGGTGTTTCACTATGAGAAATTACGGTGGAAATAATCCAGCGTGACAAGCTATGAAAGCTCCAATGACATTACGTCTGTCTGAGAGAGAGAGAGAGCAGTTGAGCCATGCACGGGGCTCTGCCCCATCATGTTACCACGGTCTACCGACAACCCCCTACTCATTCTAGAACGATGTCTTAGTTCTATCACATAATTCACAAAAACAGGAAAGATACCGTGAAGGAGATAAAGATTGAGCTAATAAGAAACGGGCTCTGCAGATGACAAAGATTTTATTGGATGCTGCAGATAAAGTTTTAGCCATAGTACATGAAAAAAAAAATCAATATCTTGACTAGACAAGTTTGTAAGTTGGAGGTAGAAGGTGAAGAGATGATTTTGTTAAAAGACAGTTGATTGGAAGCAAGTTGTTTCAGTTAAAGCATCAAATAATTATTTTTCCCCAGTATTTACTGAAGGCATTTAGGCAATTTTCAACCCATGACATAAACTGAAGTTTGTTTTTAATTAAACGTGGCAGTCCTAGAAGAAATGCATATTGCCCATCATTATTCATGCCAGAGTTTTAGATTGAAATCATATCATGCTGATAAAGAGCAGAGTATAGATATAGCAGTTTTGGTCAAACCTTGTAAATGATGTCATTTATAATTTTATGCAGTTTTATGCACTTTTGTGAGACACAATAGCTCCCAGAGGATATCACGGGCATGTCTATGAGCTACTGCTTTACAAAATTTTAATTCAATAGCTGTATAACTGACTGAGTTCGAGCCATTTTTGTGTTGAGCCAGTGAATTAACTCCAGATGTTAATGACTTGTAGACAGACAGGCAGTGTGATTACTTTTAGAGTTTTACTAAAATCCATTTAGTGGTTCATGAGATATTTTGCCTATAGACAGACGGGATTGACTCTACCAGTAACTGCCAAATATTTTACACAAAGATATTACACAATGTATAGCTCTGGCGGTTCTGTATTTGTTGGGCATTACTCTTGGGTATTATCATGCCAAATCTTTAGCTCAATATAACAGTCACAATTCAAAATGGCTGTCACAGATAAATAACATTAGCAAACACAAAAATGACAAACTCAGTCAATTGTAAAGTTTTTTTTTTGGCTACAATTTGGTGTTTTTAGAGCTAAGAATCATTCCTATCACTATTCCTTAGAAAACCCAACACTGATTAAGTGACAATTTTGTTTAAACATTTGGTGGTAAGAGTTATATATTTCTTCTAAAATATGGTTTTCATAAAACAAATTCATAAAAATCTGTTTGCTCAGCTCAAACCTGTAAAGGGAAGCTGTTTTTAAAAGCACTGATTTGTTTGTGCACGTTTGGTTTTGACAGCATTTTAACAAAGCAGATCAAGACTTGGGACTTGCAGTTCTTTTCTAGTACTGTAGTGTTCGTTTTTTTCTTCATAAATGTGGGACAATCTTGGCCATTAACGCTGATTTATACATACTCCTAGTTAGAGCATTTTCACGTGTCCTTGACTGATCTTGCTCTTCTACATTAGGCTGTCTGAAAAGGACAGTATTCTGCACTTTGATTAATTCTGAACATTCAATTCATCAGCAGTCACGTACTGCATGCAGCTCTAAGCATATAAAGGCCCATAGTGTGGGATTCCTCCTTGTCATCAGTCGGATATATTTGGGTCCTTACTAAAAAAAACATCATGTTAGAATTTTTCTGTTTTCTCAGTCATCCAGGTATATAACAACAAAAAAGGTTGAATCATGTCATCTGGACTTCGTTTTTTTTTTTTTTT